CTCTCTCTCTCTCTCTCTTTCTCTCTCTCTCTCTGATGTGCGAGTGTGGTGATATTCTGAGACAAACTATTCTTTACCTCTACTGTTATCAGGAAATGTCAGCCGACCATCTCACGAGTCAGTGGCAGACTGACTATACTCTATAAACGAAGTGTAAACGATGTGTAAACGATGTGTAAACGATGTGTAAACGAAGTGTAAACGATGTGTAAACGATGTGTAAAGCTTTACCCTGGATTTACAAGTTTTTCAACAAGTGTTCTATTAACCCTATCCGTACGCCCTGGGGTCATTTTGTGCCCCCGGAGTTGTATTCTTCACATTTTAGAATACTTCTAGTATGAAGGTCTCGTTGAAACTTTCTGTATTTCCCCAAAAAAATCATTGTTTGACAGATTGCTATGCAAAGCGTACGGGTCGGATTAACGAGTAAATTTTCTCTTTGGGAAGTGATGGCACAGAGTTCCCCACGTCGTATGGATACGATAGTAAAACACGATGTACGGATAGGGTTAAGTGGTGGCACAGAGTTCCCCACGTCGTATGGATACGATAGTAAAACACGATAGGGTTCACAGTGTTTTTATCGAAACGGTTTTATTCTGCAAACTTTTAACACAAATTTTCACCCTGTAAGGTATCCTACTCCCCCCGCCCCCCACCCCCTCTTATTGATGCGATTATAAACAATGGATTTTCAGGGTCTCTCGTGGTCTAGAGCTATGGTGTTCTCCTCTTTTCAATTCGTCCAGGGTTTGAAACATGACAGCCACGGAAAATGTTTTCCTCTATAATGTTCTCCTTATTATGCTTCCTTTCCTGCCCTCCACTCAAATTCTGGCATCTGTTTTCATCTCAATTTTCTGCCCAGCACCCTAGTTTTACCCCTTCCTCAGGGCTCCTGACTCTTTCTGCAGCCATTGACACTCCTTGGCTCCTTCTTACTGCTGTCTTGCACGTGCAGCCAAACCACTGATCTTAGGGTAGGTAAGACCTAACACCTAGCCTTCTCGGAAAAGGGCGAATAAACTCGGAGGTCCCGTGAGCAAGATGCGCACGGTAAAGATCCCTTGGTTGTTCATAATCGATAGGAGTAAGCTTCGACCGCCACCCAGGCAACATTCAAAATAATTCCTACCAAACTGAAAAAGTTTAATGTGTCGCACGTGTTAATATTCATCTATTCATTATGACCTTATGAAGTTGCGAGCGCCGTAAAACACTAGAACAATATAGGTCTATACATTTTCTCCGCGCATCGTAAAACCAATTTTTAATCGGAGTGGCAATTGAAGTAGAATATAAGTAATAGAATCAATATTCTAAAACGTTCAATATTCATGTTATCATGTACGTGTTTTGCACGCCTCGGTCCATATAATTTAGATTATATTATGTGAGTGTGTGTGTGTGCATGTGTGTGTGAGTGTGAGTGTGCGCGTGGGCGTGTGTGTGTGAGTGTGAGTGTGCACGTACGTGGGCGTGTGTGTGTGAGTGTGAGTGTGCACGTGGG